AAATCCAGTTCGAGGCTGTTATGAAGGCGAACGGATAGAATAAAAGTCAGGCCATGACTGCTCTCACACTAGGCCTGCGCGACCAGGCCTTAACAGTTCTGGAAGCTCTCGGTGAGGAAGTGACTTATGAGCAACTCCTTGAGGTACTGGAGGCGAGATAATACGACGCTCACCTGAAACACGTCTTTCATGCGCAGCTTAAAGATCGCGTGCAGTGCATCAACGAAAACCTGCAGCAGTGGGCTCTAGAGGTGGAGAAGCTAATGCTAAAAGCATACCGGTCTGTACCTGCGCTCATTGAAGGGAACCCGGTGCAGACATTCATCGATGGCATCCGCGACCTGGAAGTCAGAGCTGCTGTGAGGCTCGGGCACCACGTGACACTCAAGGAAGCCTTGGCCCATGCACTGGAGGTTGAAGCCGTGTGGCAGGATCATCGTACCCATCGCGTCAGGGAGGTTGCAGCAGCTACAGTTCGCGACCGCAATAATGAATACAGCCCCAGGTGCTATAGCTGTGGGGAAAGGGGCCATCTTCTATCCAGCTGCCCTAAGCGAACCCTAGAAAGGGAAGGTGAACGATCTCGAGAGGGTAGTGTAGCTAACGGTGCCGCCTGGCGGTGGCAGGATAATCATTCCCCTCACGCTAAAGAGGTTGCAGCAGTTACGGTTCGTTACCACAATAAAGCCCTAGGTGCTATGGCTGTGGGGAAAGGGGCCATCTTCGATCCAGCTGCCCTAAGCGAACCCTAGAAAGGGAAGGTGAACGATCTCAGAAGGGAAGTGCGGCTAACATCCCCGCCCAGCAGCAGCAAAAATACGACTTTACTATCAGACATCGCAGCGGGAAATCTCATGGCAACGCAGATGCATTGTCAAGAAGACCTTGTCCTGAAGATTGCAAACATTGTACTAGGCAAAAGAGTAAGGAAGTGATATCCGTGAGAATGCTCAGGACAGACCACCTCAGCAACGAGTGGAAGGACAGCCTATGACATGAACAGCAGGAAGATCCGTATATCAAGCCGATTCTGGAATGGATGAAGGCCCGTACTACCAAGCCTAAGTGGAGCGACGTCTCAGCGATGAGTTCGAACACTAAAAGCTATTGGGCCCAATGGGACAGCTTGCTGATTCAGGATGGAGTCCTGTGCCGTAAATGGGACAATGGTCGAGGAGACAGCTGTCGTTTGCAAATGGTTGTCCCTAAAGCTAAAGTGCCGGATGTTCTTCAGCTGTACCATAATGGTTGTTCAGGAGTCCATCTGGGAGTTAAACGAACTCTACTGAAGATCCGAAGACCGAGAACAGTTTTACTGGGTCCATTATCGTGACAATGTCAAGGATTGGTGTCGCACATGTACAAGTTGTGCGGCTGTGAGGGGACCTCAGACACGTAGTAGAGGAGCATCGAAATTGTACAATGTTGGTGCACCATGGGATACGACAGCCCTTGAAATTGCGGAGCCGTTACAGAAAGGCGCAACAGGGACTCCTAAGATCGTCCATGTGGATCGCCTGGCGCGTTATTATGGGGCCGATAATGCTCGGGACGAGCATGTCTTAGGAGGGGGCAGTGTTGCGCGCCTAAGTTGACGTCATGTACCCGGCACTAGCGCCATCTAATGTCGGGGACGAGAGCGAGGAGGGCTTCCAGAAAATGACGTGACTAACCTTTCAACCGACAGCGCCATCTAGTATCGAATTGAAGAACTAAGATATTCAATTCGATACTAGATGGCGCTCAACTCACAATGTTAGTTACCACAATATAATTTTTTTATATCTCACGCAGTTGACAATTTCAACCTACAAATGTGGTGGATAATATATTATATTATTATTACCTTAATGCTACATTTGTAAACAAAATTCAAATATAAACTAAGTATTTAATCTGAAATTTAGGCAATCGGAGGTGTCTCAGTACCTGTTTGCAAGGGACCGAGATCCCATGTAGCGTTGGTTTTCAGGCGCAATTGGTTTCAGGTTTTTGGGTGTCGCCGTAGTAGAATGTGTATCGCATCGTATTCTTACTGGTATCGAGGAGTGCGGCGATAATACATACAATTTTTTTAAGCTCTTATACGCTAGCGCTTGAATAATATCCTACCTGATGGTACTTAAGTGGTGAGGCAGCCGAAAATGGTAAAGCGCATTTGATAATGGATGTTATTATTATTTACAGCTTGTCAAAAGCAGCTAGATATAGACTCATATGAAGTTATTTATATTTGCTATAGACGTCACGAGTTTTTAATGTTACAATTACAGACTACTAAAGTCCAATGATGAATATATGCCTCCCCCCTAGATTAACTCCTAGAGGGGCAGCAAGCGTGCTGTCAACCATAGTTTTTATTTTAGTCGTTATTAGGAAGAAGCTGACGCCCCTTTCCTAATTTGTTTCCCTATGTCACTTCTTACGACAACACATAAAGATATTAATTAAATCGCAACCGTCCGCTTAAAAACACAATGATGTGTCTTACCTGGATTGAAGAGTATCTCCCGTCCGCCCTCAATTGCATGCACTAATCCCGTCACCACTAATCCCAGCACCACTACTCACAACACCACTATTCCAGGAAAGACACACCATCGACTACAATACGACACGTGTTTCGCCTCTACACGAGGCATCTTCAGGTGATGTAGACTCTACGGCGGCTGACCGCTAAGTGAGCGGCGAGCCAAAATGGCTGCTATTTATACACGCCGATACAACCGCTCCCCACCAAAGTAGCGAGTGGCCGCGTCGTGCGATAGTAAACCTGTGACAAATTATCATTACTATGGGGAGTATCAATATAGTTTTCTCATCTGGTTGGACTCTATAAATATATAACTATAAATGGAAATGAAAAGATAAATATACATAAATATCAATAAAATATAGTAAATATAAAAATACATAAATAAATAAAAGCGCAACCAGATGGAGGCCCCCGGCAGGGGAGACCAAACGGCCGAGGGTTAGGTGGAAGGGGAAAGAAACCGGCGGATGGGGAAAGAAACCGGCGGACGATGCGGGCGGTATCGAGGAGCACCGCCTTCTGCATTTGAGCCTGGAGCGGTCCGCCACGTAGTCCCAGCCGCCTCAGATGACACGAGAGGCTGACTGGGATTAGCCCGTTTGCAGAGACGACTAAAGGAATAATTTCGGTCGGCAGACCACTCCACATATCGGTCTACTCGTGAGCCAGGTCCAGATATTTTGTTTGCTTATCTGTTTCGACTTTCACGGGGTTCTCGTTATACGGAATGGTAATGTCGACCAAAAATATCCTTAACTGTGCCAGATCCATCAGCACAATATAAGACTTATTCGCAAGAATAGTCCTGTCTGTGATGATGGCCCGGTCCCAATGGAGCCTGGCGCGATCATTTTCTAGCACGGCTTCCGGCAAGTACTTGTAATACGGCAATTTCCGATCCACGAGACCGTATTTCAGAGCGAGCTCCTGGTGAAGAATTCTGGCTACTAGGTTGTGTCTGTGCAAGTACTCAGAGTAAGAAAGTGCCAAACAACTGGAGACTCACCGGGATGGCGACAAGCTCGACAGATGTCGACGGTACCATTCTTTAGGATGTATCTCCGATAGTTGTTGGTCTTAATAACCCGATCCTGTATTGCACAGACAAAACCCTCGGTTTCCCCGAAGAGGTTACCAAAGCGTAGCCAGTGGAGGGAGGCTACTGTG